CTTTGCCACCGCGCTCTGCATTCTTTGCCACCGCGCTCTGCATTCTTTGCCACCACGCTCTGCGTTCTTTAATACGGTGCTCTGCGTTCTTTAATACCGGGCTCTGCGTTCTTTAATACCGGGCTCTGCGTTCTTTAATACCGGGCTCTGCGTTCTTTATTACCGGGCTCTGCGTTCTTTACCACCGTGCTTTGCATTCTTCACCACCGGGCTCTGCGTTCTTTACTCTTTGTGTGATCTCACCTATGAAAACCCTTTCTGAGCGTCATCTGCACCATGTGTATAGCAATCACCGGGGCCGAAGCTAGGAGGGGCGTCTCTGTGCATGAAGAGTGTGGCACTTTATGCAGCATTCAGAAAGGCCCAGCTGAGATCTCCACACCCCTGCTGATCCTCCTCATCTGCCCCTCTGATCTTCCTCATCTGCCCCTCTGATCCTCCTCCTCCTCTGATCCTCCTCCTCTGCCCCTGCTGATCCTCCTCATCTGCCCCTGCTGATCCTCCTCCTCCGATCTTCCTCATCTGCCCCTCTGATCCTCCTTATCTGGTTCTCCGATCCTCCTTATCTGCCCTTTTGATCCTCCAGATCTGCCCTTCTAAACCTCCGCATCTGCCCCTGATTCTCCACATCTGCCCCTGCTGATCCTCCACATCTGCCCCTGCTGATCCTCCACATCTGCCCCTGCTGATCCTCCGCTTATCCCTCACATCTGCTCAGTGAGAACCTCAGCATCTGCCCCTACTTAGACTGTTTGCATCTGCCCCTGCTGAGACTCTCCATCTGAAACATCAGATTGGCACCCGGAACAGAGCGGCAGCACAGAGTATGTAGCAAATTCATATACTATTCTGTATTGCTGTATAATGTATTGCTGGGATTTGTAGTCCTCTATAGATGGGTGGTATAGATGGTCCTCTATAGATTGGCAGAATTGAAGAATCTCAGACAAATTATCCAAAAATTCTGCCAATGAGCTCATTTTCCAAATCACCTCTATTTGTGTAGAACTGGCGGTTCAAATTCTTCTACCAATTCCCCTGCAATTCATTTTTTAGTGAATAGATCGGCTATTTTGAAAATAGTGAGGAGAAATAATTTCTGTAACACAAGAATGTATACGTGGGTGGGCTTTGTGGATGAGTATGGATTGTGGTTGGATGTGGCCTGTATATAGGACGGAGCAATAGGGGCTTCATAATCTCGTATTGCCCGGGGGCCCAATGTGTTGTCAGTCCGCCCCTGCATGTAATTATAATGTCTTCCCTATATTGTAAAGCGCTGCGTAAACTGTTGGCGCTATATAATAATAGTTTCTATGCAGAAGCAGGGGGGATCCCGAGTCTAGTCTCGGAAGGGGCACTGCCAGAAAATAAGTCCCCCCCATCTGGCTCTTCCACTGCTACTGTCCCCATCTCTCTCCTCTCCCACCACAGCCTCTGTGTCCACTCCCCCCCTCCCTCCAGCTCCACTGCCTCCTCTGTGTCCACTGCCACTGTGCCCACCTCTCTCCTTTCCCACTGCCACCTCTGTGTCCACTGACCACCCCATGCTCTTCCACTACCACCGTACTCACCTCTCTCCAGCCTCTGCTCTCGGTCCTGATTGTTGCGTGCAGCCGGCGGGAGGGAGCGATAATTTTCTCCTGTATAGCTAGTGGTATTCTGCATTGCTGCGTAATCATTATACAGGAATGCAGAATGCCACCATCTATACATTATGCATCAAGTCAGCATACCACCAGCTACAGTCTCCCAATCCCCCCACCTTCAACCCCTACACCGACCAGCCATTACCCATAGACCCCCCAGCCTTACCCAACTCCTGCAGAACCTTTCTCCTGAGTCCTTGGCGGCCAGTGTAGGGGAGGGAGCGCAGGAGAGGGTCCTCTGCGGCCGATACATACAGCTGTCACTGTCACAGAGTTTACTGTGGTTCAGTGCAAAAAATCAGCACACTACAAGTACTGTGCCATTTTTTTTTTACAATGAACCGCAGTAAAGCCTGTGACAGTATCAGCTGTATGCAGGACAGGATTTACTCTCCCTGCTGCCCCCAAGGCCAGGTTCCGCAATGCGCCCCCTCCCCGCCAAACCCCCCCATGGAGAATGCCAACCAGAAAGCGGGGGTAGCAGGGTTAGTTTGAATTTTTTTATTGTTTCTTTTTAAAAAAAATGTTCTTATCACTTTATTTTTTTTATTTAATTTTTTA